AAAATCTCAAAACACACAAATTTTGAGACACAATCGTGTGGTTGTGGTTAAAAGTAAATTAAAGAAACAAAAATTTCATGATATGGTAAAAATCTCAAAACACATAAATTTTGAGACACAATCGTGTGGTTGTGGTTAAAAGTAAATTAAAGAAACAAAAATTTCATGATATGGTAAAAATCTCAAAACACATAAATTTTGAGACACAATCGTGTGGTTGTGGTTAAAAGTAAATTAAAGAAACAAAAATTTCATGATATGGTAAAAATCTCAAAACACATAAATTTTGAGACACAATCGTGTGGTTGTGGTTAAAAGTAAATTAAAGAAACAAAAATTTCATGATATGGTAAAAATCTCAAAACACATAAATTTTGAGACACAATCGTGTGGTTGTGGTTAAAAGTAAATTAAAGAAACAAAAATTTCAAATATAAAAGATCCCGTGTCCACAAGATTTTGATGAAAAAGAAAAAGAAAGAGAAAGCGAAGATATTCTTAACGAATTATCTAAAACTAGTTAACAAAATTAAAAATACTGATTGCTTATAAAAAAATATAGCAACTATTTTGAAACACTAATTAACAAAAGTTTATATATATATATATATATATGTACGAGGATATCATTATTAATTTAGTAGGTCCAAATCAATAGATTTGCATGATAAAATGATAATGTGATTTGACCACAATCACTTTGATCATTCATTTTACATTCTTTGTATGATAATTCATTCATACCAAAATTGAAATATCAATGTGTACCTTCGCTTTCTTGAGCCAATGTGGCATCAAAATTCCAACAAGAGATGTGATATTTGTAGCTATGACTATGAGATTGGAAATTAAACATAAAAAAATTAAAACTAAATTACTGTACTAGTATAATAGTACATATATAGTTGTTCAACCACCATTTGAATTTGAATCCGATTCATCTAACTAAAACCAATTTAGTTAAAAAACCATACATTTTTTGGTTTGTTATTTAAATATGTTTTGAGTATTTTTTTATTTTATTTTTTTTACTTTGTTATGATATATTGAATATTTTCAGTGACCACAAGTTGTGACTAAGGCGTATGGACCACATAGGCTTTGAATGCGAGGAGGTTGGAAATAACTCTCTATGAATCAGATTCAGAGAAAAAAAAAAAAAAAAAAAAAAAACTTTTTGGAAGATTCTATTTACACCTAAAAAATTATTAAATACTCTCAATTTCTAAATACACGTTTAATTATTTAAAATTTTATTTTTTTCTTATTACACCCTATTATTTTTTTCCAAATTACCCTCAAGATAAACCCAAATAATAAATAATAAATAATAAACAAACTAAAAAAGCTAAATTATTTCAAATCTTTTCCATACATAAAATAATTCTCAAATATAGACCAAAAAAAAAAAAAACAAACAAACTTATAAGCACATAATCATTATAAATATAAAAAAAAACCAAACTCAAAACTTTCGATAATTTTTAGTAGCTTATAAGCACATAAGCATTATAATTCAATTTAAACAATTTGATCTTCCATTTCAATTTAATCATTCTATATACATATCAAGAGATTAACAAATGTCTCAAAATTATTAATTTTAATCTCTAATTTGAATGAAAAGATAAAATTGAAACCCAACTTAAAGTGTAGAGGCCAAATTATTCAATTTAAAATAATAAAAACAAACAAAATTTACATCAAATTATAAGGTTTAAAAATGTAATCTACCAAAAAATTTCATATTGCAGTGCACACGTTAAGAAACTTTATTTTTTAAGTAATGCAAGTCATCTTAACAGAAATGTTCTAGACCACTAATCCAAGAGCTATAATGGCTCTAATATTGGTGTGAGTCCCACATGATGGGATGTTTTGGTCATGTATCTTCCTCTTTTTTTTATTATTATTATTATTATTTTCCAACGCATTAGAGCTGTTAGTGCTCAAAATTAGTGGTACTAAAAATTTAGTCATCTTAAAGAAGGACCTTCAATGAATATGATCACCTTTTTAAAAGTGACAATTTACCTACAAGTAAACTGGGATGGCATCTCATCAGTAACAGAGGTGGTCTATGGTGTGAGTTTCTGAAAAAGAAAAATTTAAAGCAAACTTCCTTCCATGACTGGAAAAAAGGGAAAAATGCTTCTCATGTCTGGAACAGCATTTTGAATACCAGGCCTTTTTTGAGGAAAACTGTGAAATGGAAAGTGGGTGATGGGCAATCTGTCAATTTTTGGAAGGATTGGTGGTGTGGAATTGGCTCCTTTAAGGCTTCTGCCTTGGGGACTAATCCTCCCTCCCAGAGCACTTTCTCAGATTGTGCTAATGTGAGAGAGTTGCTGGGAGAGGATGGTAACTGGGATGAACCTCTGGCAAATTCCATGTATCCACCTCACTTGTCTACTACTATCTTGCACACTGCCACACCAAAAAACCTGAACAGGTATCTCCCTTTGTGGAAGGGGACTTCAGATGGGATTTTCTCTGTCTCTGCTGCTTATGAGGCTATGTTGAATACCAATAATAATGAACAGGACTGGAACTGGTTGTGGAAACTCAGAATACCTCACAAACTTAAAAGTTTCTTGTGGATTGTGAAGCATGAAAAACTTCTCACTAACCACATGAGACTGAAAAGAACTTTAACTCAGGATGCTAAATGCCCCAGCTGTGCTAAGACTAAAGACATGCTAAGACTAAAGACATCCAGCATCTGTTTAGAGACTGTTTTAAGGCTAAAGAAGTTTGGTTTGCTTTGTTCAACAGACAGTGGTATTGTGATATGAGAAGGAAAAGTTGGAGGGAATGGCTCATGAGTAATGTGAAAAATAGAAGGGGATTTGGTCATAGCCCTGTCACTATCTAATTTCTCTTTCAAAATGACAAGAATTATATAAGTACTTTCAAAACTCCCTGATATTTTAAAACTTGTTTCTTTTACTATATTACCCTCATATCTATCAGCTCTCCTATTAAGACATTTTCACTATGTATTTCAGAATAAAATTTTACTCTGTATGAAAGTAAAATTTTACTCTGAATGAAAGTAAAATTTTACACTCTGAAACTAAAAGTAAAATTTTACTCTGTATAAAAGTAAAATTTTACTCTGAAAAATAAGTAAACTGTAAGACTCTGAAGCTAAAAGTAAAATTTTACTCTACATCATTCTCTCTACATTTTCACTATGTATTTCAGAGTAAAATTTTCTTTGAGCTTTGAGCTTTGAGCTTTGAATCAGGCCTATAATCCTTGAATCAATCGATGTTTACTTTGAAAAACATTGAATCATGCCTATAATCCTTGAATCAGGCCTATAATCTGAAAATTTTAGAGAAATTTCAATTTTTCATACCCCGATTCTTCAGATTTTACTGATTTTACTGATTTTTCAGATTTTTAAAACTTTGAGCTTTCAAAAATCTATATATTCAAATTCAAATCTCAAAACACACAAACACACATATATATAGATATATATATATATATATATTACAGATCGGAATATGTAGATATATATATATATATTCGAATTCAAATCTCAAAACACATATATTCGAATTTAAATCTCAAAACACACAAACACACACATATATATATATATATATATGTATCAGCGCGATTTGCAAGTTCTCTACAGCCCCGGCCATGTAGGAAGCTAGGATTAGAAGAGAGAGACGAGATAGAAGATGAACAGTTGAAGGAGAAGAGTTGAGAAGATGCAGAGAGAGATCATCGGAGCTTAGGAATGACACAGCTCCGGCCATGGAGGAAGCTAGGGTTAGAAGTGAGAGACGAGAGAGAAGATAAATTTTGTATCTGGATTGTGTATATGTGAGGGTATAATAATCTGATAAAATATTTAAATAATAAATTTTGTCCTTTATGCAAGATTTTATAATTATGAGGGGGTTTAGAAAGTATAATTTTTTTCTTAGTCCTTCTAACAATGAAAGGTCCTTCTAACAATGAAAGGAAGGGAAAGGGGGTTTATAGCCAAATTTTCCAAAATAAAACTCATTTTAATGCAGACCTCTCTTGGTATCTAGTTTTTATTGTAGCTTTGTGGAAAATCTCGAAAAACAGGAATTTGTTTGTGTTTGAACAAAAAACCACTGCTTACCAAGAAACTGTCAATTTCATATTAGCTTACTCTACAAAAATACATCTAGCTTTCCTCAATTCTGTTCCTGTTTCTAGACCAGCTTACCAACTTGTCACTTGGAATTACCCACCTGCAGGAAAACTAAAGCTCAACACTGATGGAAGTAGGACTACAGGAGGAGGTGGAGGCTTTGAAGGTCTGATTAGGGATGAAAGAGGAGCATGGGTCTGTGGCTATTATGGCAGACTTCAACCAAGGACCAGCCTGGAAGCAGAGCTCTAGGCAGTGTACAAGGGACTGACAGTAATCCTACAACAAGGGTTAAATGATGTGATTATTGAGACGGATGCAACCCAAGTTGTGCACCTGATGGAAGAAGACATAGCTGCAAACTGCCCTTTCAAGAGCCTTGTGGAGGATGCCAAAATTTTGCCCAGAGGCTGCAACTGCACGGTACAACATGTTTGGAAAGAAGGTAACCTATGTGCTAACGCTCTTGCCAAACTTGGAGCAACCCAACCAGAGGATATGCTGGTGGTGCATGTTAGGTCATTCTATGGAACGGGCTTAGTCCCTTGTCTTTTTATCTCCGATGTAACCCAAAAAAAAAAGACAATTTACCTATAAGTGGGGAAATTACCTTGACACCCCCGACTCCTCAATTTGCAGGCCCACGTAAAAAATGGAGGCAGGATGGAATACTACAAACCCGCACCAACCTGTCCCATTGCCATTCCTACCAGTGAGTGTCGGAACAGAGGTAGTTCAATCCACAATTGGGTCATCATCAGGTGAACTCATGTTATTTCACACGGAAGGACTTGCTGTAGCAACAAAAATCATAGCAACCTGTATCCTATGCAAGCTTTCATCCATGTCATGTTTGTGCTTGAGAAACTCGTGACCATTAAATGATTTCATTTTCTTAACCTAATGAATGGGGCAGCCACACTGCAAGAATTTGAATCCTTTCCAAAGGCACAAACAAGTACCTTTCACTCACTAAAAATCATGTTGTGTCATTTTACATCTGTATATGGAGAGAGAGAGAGAGAGAGAGAGAGAGAGAGAGTTTAGTACCTTCACCTTATAACTACTGCCATGTAAGTCCTGGCATGCTGGTCCTGGCCTGGGCATCAGCTAACGAAACTGCCATTGCCAACATCATCTGCTCCTCAAAACTATCCGGAACAATGGATCCTCCAACTGTTTGGAAACCACCCTCAATTTCATGTTGTGTTGGCAATGCAGAATCTCTACCAGCATCTTCTGCTGCATCAGAACTTGCACGACTCGTTCCAACTTCAGCCGCCTCAGACTCATGATCTACCCCCCATTCTCCGTCATCCCTGTTCATTGCCAGCCCGAGCTCAGGCGAATCCTCAGCAGAGTTCCCAGAAGGATGATACATCTCCGTCACTTGCTCCCCTCTATTGGAAAACCTGCTATACCCAGGAATCATGTTGAATGTTGACGTGTTTCCATCGTGGTTGCTGGAGGATCCTCCACCTGTTTGCTGACGCTCGGCTAAGGCAGCAATTGCACAAGCAAGGCCTCCGGATGGTGATGAAGATGATTCGGCCACAGGGGGCATGGCTGGAGAGACATGCTGGTCTTCTGTCAAGTACTGCTCAGATGGAACAGAATCACCATAAGTTGGATTCCGTTGTCTGCCATTCTCCTGTCATCATTATGCCAAGTGCAGGTTACTCAGAAAAATGAAACAGGATATAACTATTGGTCAGATTTTCTAACCTGGACAATAGGTAGAAGCGAGATCAATTTGGAAATAATACAAACAGTAAGGAGCATGTAACAAGCTAAATTGTTTGGGTTTAGTGTTTTGGCAGTACTAATGCTTTCAAAAGCTTCATCAAGATCAATCATTTGTCATAATCTCTTAAAATCCTACAGTTTTGAGACAAATGGAGACGGGAATGATCATTCCCTAGGATTTCTAGCCTCATATCTCAGAGTCTTAAATGAATATTTTAAACAATGAGAGAGACTAACATATACACTGGAAACAAGATAACCAAAAAAAAAAAAAGTCTCAGCAAAAATCCTTGTTTTTTCCTTCATTACTGCCCAGAAGAGAAACACAGAAACAGGGAAGGAGACTTTGGAAGGGGCTAGTGGAGCCCCCGAACCATGACCCCTTGATAATAGTTGGCCCCCTATGCTCTGAGGCTGCACTGACCAGAAATGAAAGCATCATGATTCATGACATATGTAGCACACAATGCGATTATGAGAACTGCAAATACAGATTTCCAATTTAATTGATAAATGGTACCATCCAATATTAAACGACTGCCCAATAAAAAAATGATTTCCTCCTCAACTACAAATATATATATAAAAACCTAACAAAGGAACATGACAACTGGGTGGCCTTCAGGCTTCATGTAAAGGTAACATTTCTCATAACAATAGTATCTATGACGCACGGATACTCCAAAAATGTTGCCGTACAAGTACCGGGTACTTACCGGGTGCAGGTACGCGTAATGTGTACGCCACACATGGTTTGGTGAAGTTGGGTACGCGGTTATGAAGCATAAGTACTTCGAAAAACATGTCGTACCCGTACCGGGTACTTACCGGCATATAATATCTCGTATGGTACTTCTGCATACGTATCGGGTACATGAAACACGTACCCACATTTTTTCTTTTTAATTTTTGGGGTACCCAGACATACCTAGTATATACCCAAACCGTAACGTACCTCAGTTGAAACAATATTTTCTTCTATTACAGAGATAAAACTCTTTTCACTAGGTTTTTTTTTTTTTTTTTTAGTTTTATACTTAGCATGATTTTAAAATTAAACTATGGTTTGAAAGTAATTCAATATATTGACAATTAATTTTGATTTATACCTTCACTTTTGGCATTATATGTTAATTATAGGTTGGATCTTAACAAATTAAACCATTTAATTAATTTTTTCATTACTCTAAATTAAAAATAAATATTTTTTTACAAGAATACCAAGCCGTATCCGTACTCTAGTTTTTTTGAATTTTACCGTGTCGACATACCAGTATCATACCAGTATCAGTATTCGTACCCGTGCTTCATAGACAGAGGCGGTGGGTACTCCATGAGTACGTTTTAGGGTATGACTGGGTAGAAAGCAAGATTTTCAGCAATTTTAAGGGTACAGGTGCTGATTCTCTCCTTCAAAGAACACATTTCGGTGAGTTTCTCTTCAATTCTTCATCCTCTTCTTCTTCAATTCTTCATCCTCTTCTTCTTCAATTCTTCTTCCTTTCTTTCATTTTTTTTTTTTTTCTTTCTCCTTCGTAGCAAACAACCAGATCTGTCCATTAGCCTCTCTCTTCTGTGTCGCCTCTTACTTAGGTAAGTCGTCTCTCTCTCTCTCTCAAAGACCTCTCGCCCTCATCTCTCACTTCTCGCCTCTCTCTTCTCTGTCACCTCTCACTCTTGCTTCTCTCGCTTTCTCTTCTCTCGCTTCTCTCTTCTCTATTTTTTTTTCTTCAATCTCATTATAATTTTTTTTGTTTTTTCTTCAATCTCATTATAATTTTTTTTGAAGATGGGAAAAAGTCAAAGATAAGAATTAAATAATGAAGATGTGGGCTGCGGAGTGCTTTACTTTTTGTGTAGTGTTTACTTGTAATGATGAATTATTAAGTTTTGTGTAGTGCTGAGTGCTTTACCTTTTGTGTAGTGCTGAGTGATTTAGTTCAAGTTGAGATGAATGGGATAAGGTTACTGTTGGGTGGAGTCATGAAAAATAAATTATTATTTTTTTTTAGTAATGTCATATATTTTTATTCAATATTTTTGAAAAATTATATACTAAAAAATTCACAAATTATTTTGTTAATGGTTATATTATAGGAATATGAGTTCATCAGAAAGCATAGATTCACTAATTATTTTGTTAATAGTTATGCTGAAGAATAATTTATTTTTTGGTTGTGTAATTTTTCTTTTTAATTATGATATTAAATTTTGATTTGTATGTAGGATGTTTAGTGAAGTGATAAATTTAAAAAATAAAATAAAAAATTTGGCATACCCCAACCGTATCCTAACCCTACTTTTTTTAGAATTCGCCGTACCAGCAGAACTATATTGTACTCGTACCAGTATCTGTACCCACACCTGTGCTTCATAGAATAGTATCCACAATCTAGAAACACCTTTCATAATTGGTGGGGTTTGGTCCTAGTGACTGTTAGTAACCTACGTTACACGGACTCTTCTTTTTTGGGAGGTACCCGTGTTGACACGACACAATACAACACAGGTACGGGTGTGAGACATGGCAGGGATACGGCTCTGCACAAATGGATGTGGGAGAAGAAACAAAAGAGACGAGAGTAAGGAGAGAACTTGTGGCCGACTTCAAAAGGGCAAGACATCGATCCCTCTGTCGCCGACTTCGATCCCCCTGCTTGCGTCCTTCGACTTTGTCTTCGTGGACTTCAACTTCGTCTAGCTCCCTTTAACTTCAACTTCGTCTTCGTCTTTGTCTTCAACGAGCATGACTGTAAGCCCCTCTCTCTCTCTCTCTATCTCTCTCTCTCATTCTTTATTTATTATATTTCATCTCTCTATTTTATTCTTTTTATAAAAAAAAAAAATTTTAAAAAAAATTGGGTTGAACAAGATAAGTAAAATTTTGGGCCTACTAAACTTTGGGCCTATTAAAATTTTGGTCAATAAATCTTTTAATACCATGGGCTGTTATGTAGCTAATTTATATGTTTGGTCCATAAATTGTATATAAAAAAATTATTGGGTCAACTTTTTAACTCATGTTTATAAAAAATATATATTTAAGAAATAATTATGTGACGTACCCCCGTATCCATATCCAAATTTGAATCCGTATCCATGTATCCTTTATTTTTAATTTTGAGGTGTCTAACCCTTAGATACGCACTCGCACCCGCACCCGAGTCCGTGTAACGTAATTAGTAACTACACACATTGGCTTGTAGCCAGATGCTTAATTAATCAATTTAGAACATGTACCTGAATGGACAACCAGATGGCTTCCATAACCATTATATCCTCAAGGTCCAGATCAAAGTCATCATCCCTGCAATCAGCACCAGAATCAAAGGAATGAATTGCATTTGTTGTATTCAATTGCATTTGTCAAACAAGACAGAAGTTAAAACCATCTTTATAGAAAAGCTAAGCTGCACCCTCAAATTAGGCACATCCAAAATTTAGCAGCTGAAAGAAATATGTCACCGTGTGCATGTATTTGGAACAACACATCAAGAAAATCAAATAAAAAACATCTTTCCTCCTTATGGAGAGATAGATGAACAATAATTCATTTCATTCACTCACAGCAAAAGAAATGAAAATACTGTAAGCCCTATGTGCGTTGTCTCAGGTATATCACACAAGCAATGTTGCATAAGCTGTCAGATAAAGCACTTATATCTCAATGCCAGAATTCCAGCCTTATCATTTTCTTACTTGAAAAATTGGATCTTCAAATATAATTAACGCCAAACAACTATTAAGAAGGAAAGAGAGGATAGAGAGAGAAAACACAATGGCTACAACCTTAATCTCAAAATGGCCATAACCTACTCAATATCTCATTAATTCAAATCTAAATAAGCATATTACATAATGGTCTATTTATAAGCAATCAAGAAACCTTAAAAGTTACCAAAATAAAACAAATTCCAAAATATAACCTATTGTCAAAATTAATTATTAACCCTTATTTCTTTAACCAATTCCTTCTTGTTCCCCATCAATAATACTTCTGCTGCATCCTTAGAATAGATCTCAGTAGTAAATATAGCATTCTTCCATTCAGTTAGAAATTTGTTTATTATGCATGAATCATGAGTTTGTAAGAAATTCATGCAAAACAATACAAGGTGATCTTTCAGCCAGTCATAAGCATGCCCCCAATGCCATAAGCCACAGGTTTAATAATTTGACCTAAAGCCACAACCAATTATTTGTGATAAGACTTCTCCCACCATGTTTAAGACATTCATGACCTTCATTCCTTCCAACATTCAAATATAAGTAAAATAGTTTAGCTCATTAACCCAAAAAAAGCCAACTTTCTGACTAAAACATCTCCCCGACATATCCAACCCACATAAGCTCACCAAATAACCAACAAACTCATCAAATGGCTCATAAAAATAAATGAAGCTCTGGTGCAACATTAGTTTTGGGACTTCTATTTTTCAAAAAAAAAATGTGACTCCTAAAAAGCATTTTGAACAACATTCAGATATATAATGTACAAGAAAATAGAACAATAGATAACAAATCATAAAATTCAGAAGATGGGAGCCAATTTTGTATGCCAAAGACACAAAACAGTATGTAACAAAAAAATTATACCTGTTCTGCCTAAGGCGTACAGATTGTCTTCTCGATGGAAAAGGTTCTTGTGAAGAAACAATTTCGTCACCTTCTATAGCAGACATAAAAGATGTGCAGGGAAAAATAGAAAGGTACATAAGAATCAGAGGAACAAAAAAAATAAATTCCACACGAAACCATCAAATAAAAATACCTGCAACTGTGGTATCCTCAACCTCTCCTGGTGCCATATTTCTACTTGAAGAACTTATCTCTTGTCTTCTCTGCATTCTCTCTTCTTCATCTTGGAGTTCTTGCCGGCGCATCCTTATTTTCGCTTCTATAACCCGTTGTTCTTCCTAAACACATTAGTGGCACAAATTTGCAAAATTCACATTCCGAACATTGCCAAAAGTTCCCTTATTATAATGAAATAAAAGGAAACTAATACAATGTAAAGAAAATCTTACAATTTGCTCCTTCCCTTTTTCCTCCTTTGTTTTCACCCCACGATACTCCACAGCATAATTTAAGGTTTTACAGAACGGACACCTTGTCTAGTTAAGGAATACAGACACAGAACATGAAATTTGCAAAGGGAAAGTTAAAACAAAGTAGATGAAATTGTCAGATAAAAGGTAGAAATATTGTTCACAGATTCAAGGATACTGTGTAGGACGAGTTGAATTTGGGGTCTTCATCTGCAGAAAACATTCTATTGCAAAAAAAACAAATCAAGAAGTCTCCAAATTAAGGACTACACTAACCATACAACTTATGAGAGATGTGCACAGCAAATACCTGTACAAATGCCTTTCATGCAACATCTTGAGCGATTAAGACTTGGATAATACTGAGAGGTTTCAAACCACATGAAGAAAAGGGTACAGTTATAAACTTCAATAGAACCAAGAATACAACCAAATATAAAATTTTATATAGAATTCAATTCAAGCCCTGTTCCAACAGGTTGCTGAGAAACCAAATATTACACTTTATATGGTCTCAGTTCCTAATTAGATCAATCAATTCTCTAACATATTGCAATATCGTTAAAATATCGAACTAAAATAATCTGAAGGGCACCAAAAAAAACCCAGCTTTCTTCATGCACTGAACAATTAACCGGAATTAACGAAAACTCAAAAAGTCGTAAAATACTTTAAATAAAACAACTCAACCACGTAGTGCAGGATAATTTAGCTGTGTCAACCAAATGAATTGTATTCTCTTCATCAAATTGCATTTTTCCTTTCCTCAATTTTCTCATACACCAAACAGAGACCAAATATAAATCATTCAAAAAAAAAAAAAAAAAAAAAAAAAGAAGAAGAGAAAAATAATAATAATAGAAATGAAAGACGGACCAAAAAGCAAATAGGGCATTCTTCAAGATCAAAAGCGCAATCTTCATCACCAGGAAAGCAAGGAGCGAGCTTAGAGTCAAGTATGAGCTTCTTAAGCTTTTTATGATCCACATCCTTGTGCTGGTACAACCCCTGTGGCCTAGTAAACTTCTCGTCTACCACTTGTCTCCTCCGCCCCAACTTATTCCCCATCGAATTATTAAAAACCCAAATCGATCACATCAACAACAACTAATATACACAATTATTCAATCTCAAAAACCCTAATTTTCACAAAAACCACAAAACAAGTCATCATCACTTCCAAAAAGCAAAAAATGGCTGCGGAAACACAATCGTAACATCCTGCAACCAAATTAAACAAGAGAATACAATGAATAATTCCGAACAATCAATGAAGAATACTTCAAAACTCGAGCGCAATTTGAAGATGGAATCGATGAATAAAGCAGAGAAAGAATTGAGATTTGAAAGGGCAAACCTTTTGACTTCTTTGGAAAGAGAGCGAGAGAGAGAGAGAGAGAGATTTGGAGAGAAGAAGAGGGAACACAATCACAACTTTTATTTTCGCTCTTTGATATATGTATGTATATTTGTCTGTGTATGGTTGTGTTTTGTTTTTGTTTTTGTTTTAGTCGGTGTATCTGTTTTCTTTCGGCCTCTGTGACAGAATCGGAGAGAGAGAGAGAGAGAGAGAGAGAGAATGAATGAATGATCCAAGAAAGCAAGGCAATGCTGGAACGCAAAGAAGAGTAGTAGAACCGGAAAGTATCAAAATGACGATTGCATTTTCCACGCGCTTCTTAGAGCACGTGTTCCGGTTTGTGAAAAAAATTAGTAATATCAATTTTGTACAGTAATGTTAATTATTTCATTAATTGATAAAAATAAATAAAATACGACATTAAATATTTTTAACTTTCTACTTATTGATTTGATTCAATTATTCTATAAAATCGAGAATATTATTAATATTTTTCAATTTTAAAATTGATAATATTATCAAGTTTTTTTTAATAATTTTGGACATTAATATTCTATCATCATACTCTTTTATAGATACAAAATTTTTAATTTTGTACCAAAAAAATTCATTCGTGTTTTTTTGTATTTTTTAGTATTATTTATAGACACAACTTTTTAGTTTTTTTTTTTTTTTTGCAAAAATGAAAGTTTTGTGTCTATAAAGGAGCATGATGACAGAATATTGATGTGCAAAATTATAAATAAAAAAAATTTAAAAATAAAAAAAAATTGATAATGTTCTCAGTTTTAAAACTGAAAAAAATGATAATATTCTCAATTTTATTAGATAATTGAATCAAACCAATAAGTAGAAAAGCAAAAACATTTGATATACTGGATATAAGTGCACCTATTTAGATAAGCGCACTTATTTGGGTCACATCACCTCTCTACTTTTCTGCATATCTTTTTGTAAAAAGTCAAAAAATATACTTTTTCCAAATAACGCCATCATCAGCGAAACAATTATCTTGAGGGAAAATGTTCCGTAGCTCGAGAAAGTGAGGCTCGAATGGCGCGAATGGTACGAAAAATATTATCTTACCGGTAAGAGAATCAAAAAACATCCAAAAACGACATCGTTTTGGCATTTCGAGCCACTTGAGCCACGGAAAATTCGAACTACGAATCAGAACCGTATCTTGAGCATTACTATACAAAATTGATAATGTTCTTAATTTTAAAAATTGAAAAAAAAAAACTGATAATATTCTTAATTTTATTAAATATGACTTATTAGTTCAAAAAATCTTAAATAAGATATGAGTTACCATAACATTTATAAATAGAATTTTTAAATAATTAACTCTATTTTTTATACTCTTTGTTAGTTTTGATTTGGACTCATATCGATGATTTAAATTACTTATCTCATAAGTTTTGTAATAAAAGTCATCTATACAAAAAATAAATTCCATCGAAAAATTATAAACTTAAGAAAAAATCGTATTTTTGTTTTATAAAATAAACTATAAATGTTATTATAAATTAAACCATCTATTTTATAAACAAAATATTTTTTGTTTTTGCATTTATAATTTTTTGATAAAACTTATTTTTTATATAGATGGCATTTATTACAAAATTTACAAAATAGACTATTGGAATTATTGATATGGTCCCAATTGAGACCAACAAAAAGAGTATGAAGAGGTATGAAGGTGAAGGCATGAAAAGAAGTCTATCCCACTCATGTGGGCTCACCTCAGGATATTCAAATTATTTATTTTTGTAAAATTCATCAAATATATTATTTATATAAAAAAATAAATTGATCAATATCAGTAACTAATCGGATTACGTATGTTTACGCAGAAAATAAAGGTGAACTTTTTTAAGATAGTTTGTCTATTTATTTTGAGGAAATCACATGTCACCAGGAGTGAAATTTTTTTTAGAGAACCACGTATAGGTGAGAGTTTGAAAAAAAAAATTACTAACACGTAAAAGGGTATAAGTGACACTTGTATCCCATAATATTGTCAGAAATGTTTTGAAAATTCTGGATAAAAAATAGAATTTTTATTAAACTTTGGTCTAATATTTGGGTGGGATCCGTGCGTCGATTTTTGCGGGTCTAACTGATAATGCGTTCTATGCCGCGTTGTGATTCACGTGGTATATTTGGTTACTCAAAACCATTATCGAGTGAGTGGAAAATTGAAACCAAAGTGTGTTCCATGGAAATGAGGCTTTGGTGGAAAATCCTTTAAGGTTTGAAAATGACTTGTCCCACATTGATTTGGTAAGAAGTTTTGAATGGGTTTATAAGGCATGGGATTGGAACTTGGGGTGTGCCCCAAGGGGTACCCAAGTTTTGTAGAGAAAGAGGTTATGGACAAAATGGGCTAGATCTATTAGACCCAAAAATAACCACACGCGCGTGCCGCCGCCGTCCGGTCAGTCGAGCGGGCTGGGCTTGGGCATGGGCGCGGGTTCGTGTGCGTGGTGTGAGGATGGGTTGGGCTTGTCCGGCCCAATACTAATCTTTTTTAGCCAAAAAGATTTGAATATAATTTTATTTTTGGTAAATAAAATCTATTTGAATTCAAATTATTTTGCACCTCTTCAAATTTTGTACAGGATAATTCAAATCTGTCCAGATTTTCTGTACAGAATTTATCTGTCCGAAGCAAATTCAAATCTATGCAACAGATTCGGTTTTTGTTCGAAATTCAAAACCGAACAGATTAAAACCTGTTCAAACAGTGCCGAACAGGTACTGTATCTGTTCAAAACAGATTGCTACCTGTTGGATTCAAATTGAAAAGCCACCAATCCTTCTATAAATAGACCAGCCTCATTTGATGTTTGATTCCAATTTTCATCCATCATTGCTGCAATTTCATCTTTGCATTTTGCTGCATTTGTTCTATTATTTTTCTGTGAGAAAGAGTATATACACTAAGTGTGTTCGTTGAACAAATAAATTGTAGTGTTGCATTTATTTGTTGATTGATCATTTTATCCTAGGAGATAGACGTCCATATTCTGAATGCACCGAGGAGAGGACGAATCTGTCTTGAGGACACAGTGTCGAACGCTGGACTTGATCAGATTATTATTCGAATAAATTAAACAAGTAAGTTGTTTAATTTATTTTTTTGTTTTATTTGTTTATTTAAATCAGATTTTAATTTTGTTTTTGTAACAAAATAAAATATGTTTTTATTTATTTTATTTTATTTTTTTGGTTTAATTTTTATAATCAAACAAGTTCTCTCATTTCCTTTATTTCTTTTATATTCTGTTTGTTGTTTAGTACACAACATAATTTATTTTTCAAATACAGTGAAGATTTTATAACAATCTTAAGACAGAACTATATTTGGTGTCTTCATTGTATTTAATTTTCTGTGTTTTCAAAGTAATATTCTGGTTGGAAAATACAAATAGTATTTCTAAACTATTTGACAGATAGTAGTAATATACTGTTTATTTTCTTTGACAACTAGTAGTAATATACTGGTGTCATTAACAATTGCAGAATATTATTTGGTGTTACAAAAAATTACTGTGGTATTTTATTTTTCTAGTTTTAGTAATAAGGAAAATAAAATTATTTCGTGGTCTAATTTATTTTCTGGTTATAGTAACTAGAAAATTAATTTGTGGTTTGTTATTCTGATTTTTGTAATCAAATATTATGGCTACTACAACTGAATCTGCAACTGGAAATGGTACTCCAATTGTTACACCAACTCCAGTCCCTATCCAGAACCATGTTCAAGTACCAATAAATCATGGAGAAAAATCGAAAAAATTTAATGGTACTGAGTTTAAGAGATGGCAGCAGAAGATGCTGTTCTATCTTACAACTCTAAATTTGGCCCGATTTCTCCGTAAAGAGGTTTCAGCACTTAAAGAGGGTGAAAGTAATCGGCAAGTTGTTGCCGCTGTAGATGCTTGGAAACATTCAGATTTCCTGTGCAGAAACTACATCCTTAATGGCCTTGACAATATGCTGTATAATGTTTACAGCCCTCTGAAAACAGCAAAAGAATTGTAGGATTCTTTGGAGAAGAAATACAAGACAGAGGATGCCAGCACGAAGAAATTTGTTGTCGATAAATTTCTGGACTTCGTTATGGTAGATTCCCAAATGGTAATTTCTCAAGTTGAAAGTTTTCAATTAATTTTACATGATATTCATTCTGAGGGTATGTCTCTGAGCGAGTCTTTCCAAGTCGCTACTTTAGTAGAAAAGCTACCACCGGTTTGGAAAGATTTCAAAAATTATTTAAAACATAAACGCAAAGAGATGACCATAGATGAACTTATTGTAAGATTGAGAATTGAGGAAGATAACCATAAGGCTGAAAAGAGGAATGAGAAAAATCGCATTGAGTCCAAGGCTAATGTGGTTGAACAAGTTCACAAACCACATAACAAAAAGAGAAGGTTTATTGGAGATTGTCCTAAACAAAACGACAACAATGGCAACAAGAAGTTCAAAGGAAAATGCTATAACTGTGGCAAGACTGGACATCAAGCTTCTGACTGTCGCACCGCCCTAAGAAGGATATCGAAAGAACAAGCAAGAAGACTACCAATCAGGCCAATGTAACTAAACTAGATTACATCTCTGACGAAGTGAATGACATCAACCTCTCTGCTCTGGTGTCTGAGGCTAATTTGGTTGGAAATTCCAAGGAATGGTGGGTTAACACTGGGGCAACTCGCCATATTTGTGCAGACAAGAAGATGTTCACTACCTATAATAAGGCTACAAATGGTGAACAACTTTTCATAGAAAATTCTTCTACTTTTACTGTGGTTGGACAAGGAAATGTGATCTTGCAGCTGACATCATGGAAAAAACTGACCCTCAACAACGTACTGCATATACCTGACGTCCGGAAGAATTTGGTTTCTGGCTCTTTGTTAAGTAAAAATGGTTTTAGGCTTGTTTTTTAGTCTGATAAATTTGTATTATCAAAGAGTGGTATGTATGTTGATAAGGGATACATGAGTGATGGTCTCTTCAAATTAAATGTAATGACAGTTGTACCAAAAGTTACTATGAATAAGAATAACACATCTTTTGCTTATATTCTTGAGTCGAATTTATGGCATGGTAGATTAGAACACGTGAATTTTGATGCTTTGCGTAGATTAATTGGTTTAGATTATATACCAAAGTTTGAAATTAATCCTAATAATAAATATAAAATTTGTGTAGAAGCAAAACTAACTAAGGCTC